AAACTATCCTAATGAATGACAAATAGAATTTTCCACCATACTGATGTCATTTCATTCGGTTACTCACAAATAAACTTAACAACTTTACAGTTTCACTCCATGCTCTGACACATTAGACTATTCACCAGCATACAATTTATGAATATTTATCAAGAAAGCAAGAACTCAGCTAAACCCAAAATCAATATACAAATATTAATTTCAAACAATATTCGCCAATACTGGCATTTGTTTTAGTAAGTTATTTCCCTTCCTGGATATTTTCCCCTTTGGGTCCCCTATGTTAGAATTCACCGGAGGGACTTGTTGAACACCATTTTTTCCTCTCAGTCTGATTCATTCTCTCTCCTCCTACCAGAAAGTTTAAATAAAGAAGCTTTCAACACAGTCTCTACTGGGACTCGTGTCCTTCTTCACCCTTTTCATCATATTGGTGATACAGTCTCATCAACACACTCTTGAACTTCACAGCAGAATATAAAACTAGATATATAAACTTTAAATTCTGAATTATAAGTAGCCCACACTTCAATCATTAGAATTACAAGTCTACTTTCTATCAATGTACAAACAGAATAAATATATATGTTACTGTTGCCCTTAAAATTCTATCTTTTCTTTTCAATTTTAATGAACCCTTTGATATCATGTCACTTTATTTTCATTCCCACCAAAAGAGAAATTTGTACAACAAAAGAAATGGATGAAGGAAGCTGAGACCACAATGAGTATACGTTTTCAAACATCAGAAATTTAATTTCCCATGAGCCTAAAGCTAATTATAATTCTTGACATTTTTCAAAACAAAATTGTCATGGCATTTACAATCAATCAAACATGGTGCATTGTCTGTTAGTACTGTAGACTTTCCTGTAGAATAGACAGTCAAAATCAACAAGTAAAATTAAACCAGTTTCCAGATGGAAAATCATAAATTCCTCTGCTGGACATATGTAATGTTCATGAACTGTACATACTTGGATTGTACTGTTCAACACAAATGTGCATACAGCTAATATTAAATGGTACCCAACCTATAAAGTTAGTCTACCAATAGGCTTTGTACTATCCACTCATTTTCAATTAGTATACAAAATTTTGTAATACTGTTGTGGATAAGTGTGTTCATTTTGGGAAGTTACCAGTGTGAATAGGTGATAAGATTTTCTCTAGTAGAAACTTTGGAATAAAATGGACTGATTCAAGGATTTAAAATAAATAATATATTTTTCTTTATTTTCTTTAGAGTGATATGTGAGTCCTTTGGTATTCAGTGTAACAAAAATTTTGTCTTGGTAGCAATCTGGAGAAATGTCTGTTTCAGTAGTTTTTAAAGTTAGACCATGATAGGGTAGTAACTGTTTAATAACCACTTGTTCAAACTGACCTGGGTTCTTCAGGCATGTGGTAGTATCAATATTTATTTGTATAATATATACAAAATGTGGCACAAGGCCAAAACGGTGAATGAGGGAAAGGACAGTCTTCTTCTGTCTTAACATTAAACTTAGCTAGCCACAAACACTGATCAAAACACACCACAATATTCTTAACACCAAAACAATGCATTCTTACTTACCATCCTCACATCATCCACCATAATACCTCAATGTCTCTATGGTGTCTTAACTAGTCCCCATATGTACAATTCTTGTTTGTGAGGGGAGGGTAAAATAACAATTTAAAATCTAAACCCCAATGTGTATTTACAATATGAATAAAAAAAATACTACAAGAAACTAAATAAAATAGTGTTAGTAATAAAAAATCCCACAGCCCTTAAATGTGGCAGAAACATCAATTAACGGGATGAAATCAATGCAGAACTTTAATGATATACAACACTCATTCGTCCAAACCACAAACTCAAACACACACTCATTCAAACACTAAAACAATTATGAAACACATACCTGAAAACGAAAGGCATCCCGCATCCAGCAGAGAACTAACACCCCTGGACACCTAATGGGAAAGGGGGAATTAACCTAAGAAAGTAGAGACAGAAATAAAAGGGGGCCAATGAGCATACACTAGCAAAGTTAATTTAAAGGAAGAAACTAAAAGGCAAAAAACAACCCTAAACTAAGCTAATTTCAGGTAGGGTTGCCAATGTTCAACATAGCACAACCTCCTAATGCCTAACTGGCATCAAAATGCCACTCTAAGTTGGACCCTCTTACTCAACGTGCAAGACTCACCCACCTTTTGCCAAATTCTGAAGGAGGGAGTTGCCACCTTTCCATCCTAATCTTGACTTTAAGCTGATGCTTAAAGTACAAGATCAGTTGGGAAGAGGTGAAAGTCTTGCTCCCATAGTATCCCTTCTGACATGTTGTCCATATCACAACTCTCATAACACCTAGCAAGCAAGAGAACACATAGTGTTCAGCCTTTGTCATCAGCAGTACCACATTGCTACAGACAGAACTGACCTTGGGGATGAAAAAATTTCCACACAACATACAAACCATGATGCCTTCAACAAACTTGCACAACAGGACTACAACTCTACAATGAAAAAAGGCATAACCTAGGTTCTCCACCTCCTCATCACAGTGAACACAGTTTGGAGATTTTTCCAAACCCACCAAACAAAGTCTTTTACTGACCCAAAGGGCCCTATGAATCACCAGCCAGGTGACTGATGCCTCATTATTATTGAGCTTGTTAATCAGATCATCTCATAAAAAACCCCTAACTAACACATGATATAATGCCCTTTGAGACAATGCCTGGACATTGGAGAGGCCATCCAATGCCTGTAAGAGGTGTTTCAGAGCAATATGACATTCCTGATAGAAGGAACACTCACCTTGGAGTAAACATGGGAAGGGGCCTCCTTCTTGCACACTTCTCAGGGATGGAAATTTTTTATAGGGATCTTCCTTTCAGTATTCACCCTCCTCATCTGAATCGCAACACATTCAATCTAGGAATGCGATGCGAAGCATATGTTGACAAGTCTCAATGCTAGCCATACCTAGACCACCTTCAGAAGGGTGGAGGTAACAGATCTCCTGAGGTACCTTAGCAGACTTGCCTCCCCACAAGGAAAACAAAAGACTTACTAATGAAATTAGTGTGGTAGAGTGAAGTGGAAGGACAGAGAGTCAGTAGAGGAGAATCAGGTAGATGTGCAAGGCACATACTTCTGCTCTCCTCTTTAAGGAAAGATTCCTCCGGGACCATAGTTGAACTGTGACCTCAGCTTTCTCTGACCAATTCATTTTGAGCAAGAGATCAGGACCAAACCTGATGCCAAGTATCTTGACTGGCCCATCTGTCTAGAGGAAAAGTCCAGGAAGAGAAACTCCCTTCCACACACCCAACCGCAAGCCAATAGACTTATTACAGTTGATCTTGGCCCCACTGTTTCATACCCTCTGATTTCTTTGCTGACTTCATCAATCTCAGCTCTGCTTGACACAAGAACTGAAACGTCATCAGCATAGGCAGGATACCTGGCCAAGGTAGTAGCACCAGGCAGAGAAATTCTGTGTAGGACCAGATTCATCTTTAACTTGCAAAGTAAAGATTCCAATGCAAGAATGTAAAGCAAAGGTGAAAGAAGACAACCTTGACGAATGGAACAAGATAATATGAAAGGCTCTGATTGAATCCCATTCACTTATATCAGTGCACTAGGAGACACATACAGAAGTCAGATCCAGGTGCAAAAGTATGGCTCAAAACCGGCTGCTGAAAGGACAACCTCCAGAAATCAGTGGGTCATCCTATCAAAGGCCTTGGACTGATCTAAATTGATCAGCACAGCTTTACTGTTGACTTGCTCAATAATCAAGCATATGAAGGTTGTCCTGAATAGTCCTGCCCTTCACAGCACAAGTCTATTTGGGGGCAGGCATGTGGTAGTATCTTCCTCAAGGAGAAATGGGCACAGTTTATATGGAGCTGAGAAGTTGAGCCCATTAATAACTGTGGGAAAGATAAACATACTGCTGCTGCTAGCAAGAACCTACTAAGTTATGAGGGGATAACTTAATCTAACAACAACAGAACAATAACAGATATAAGTTATTTTTCCCATTATTTTTAATAAAATAATGGTGGAATTTATTGGTTGATAAGCTTTCCTGTGACAAGAACTTCTAGCAGCCTTCTAGAATCTGCTCCTCTATTTGTCAATATACCTGGAAATTGAAATGTGATGTGGACCCATTTTATAGACGGTATCACTTTCTGAGTGATCATTCTTCAAATCTCAGTAATGTTTTCATGAACTTGCTTTGTGGAATGAATATTTGATGTAAAGATCTATTGTCTGTGTATACAGTAATAGGTATTTTATGTGTGGTATAGTTGTTACAGTATATCTCTTTTAGGAGACTGCTAAGATAGATGGCTTCATCAACTGCATCATACATTGAAAGTGTTTCAGATACTAACATGCTGGACACCTTGCATTCAATTTTGTTGGATATCCAAGATAGTGGACAACTTCTTTGCTCTTTATCAGTTAGAAATATTACATGTCTCTGAGCACTTGAGACCCCATCTGGAAGATAACCCCATGATGAATCCCAGAAGACATCAATTTTCCATTCTCTAAACCTACATGTAGAGGATTATAGGGTCTATGGGTTTGTATGGAACAAGTATGAGAAACATCAGAGAAATTGAATTCAACATTTTCAGGAAGAGATTACATGTGGAGATATTTTATATATTTTTATATATTGAATAACAAGAATCACAAAAGAAAGAAAATATACTTAGTGTGTAATCATATAGCAGAAAAGAGTAAGAAAAAACATTTATAGTGTTAGTGATAGTGTGTGTATACAGGAGATACACCATGTAGTCAGGTGACTAGACTAGAAGAGAGAGAGACAGAGAGAGAGAGCAATGTCCTTTTATAATCCAGAAACAGCACCACATAGCAGGCATCTTGGTAGACAAGATGGAAGTTATCCCCACAATTTAAGGAAGGTAAAAATTATCTGTATTCTTCAACTGTTAATTTCTTTCTTTTTTAGTTTCACAACTTCCAAAATCAGAGGGAAGATATTTCAATCAAATTTCAATGTAAGTAAATAAAAATTACTTTTGATTGTTGGAAATATAAACTTGAGCATTAAATAACCATTCCTCATCCAAATTGATATTTCAAATATTACTTCTTAAAATTTTTATTTGTAATCATAAACTTTTGAAAATTTCAAAAACAAAATATAAAAATCCTTTCCTGAATTTTAGCAAATCCCCCACAAAAACTCAGTCTAGAATTGGTTGAATATCATAAAAGAAACAACTTTTCAGCATGACTGGTTAATTTTAACATGACTTTTTTCTTTGGTTTGAAAGTTTGTTATCTCCATCAAATACTTTCTGTACATGTATCTGTTTCTTCTAACAAATGCCCAAAAGAAATAATCAGTTTGCTCTGAAATGTACTATGTTCAAAAGAAGGAATCATTGAACTGCCTATTTATTTTAAATATAGTTTATTTAGTTATTTTAGGTAACCAAACCAGATCTGCAATATATTTTACAGTTTATTAAAATAAAAAGTTTTAAAGAAAACATTCATGTGAAAATAATTATACTTAACATTCATAGAATTTCATTTCCTTTTTTCTACAATAATCAAAATGCATTGTTGAAAATTTTAAATAATTATAAGAATTATGCATTCTACATACAAAGGCCATATTCTTGGTTAAAATTTACAAAATTCTGTATTAGAACATGGCATCTGTTTTATAATTTAAGTGTTGTTTGAGGTGAGGGATTTACTTCAGTTTCATTATTAAATGTTCATATTTTATGACAGAACTGTACACCCAGAGGAGAAAATTGGTATTATACACTCTTTTTATCTACTTACTTCAATTTCAAAATGTTCTTAACATATAAACTTTAAAAAGAGTGGTTAAAACAATTTTTTTCTTGGAAATATAAAGTCAAATTTCAGATTTCATTCATTCATTTCTTATGGAGATTTGTTTATTAGATATAAAAAAAAAGTTTTTTTGATGAAATTGAAAATAAACTGTAGACTATGCCATGTATATAACAAATGCTGAACACTGATATTTCTGTAGAAAATAAATTAAAAAAAAAAGAATGGGTCTGAATTCTTGCATGCCAACAATTTGCAACATTTTACAAAAAGTATTTGTTTTAAATAAAAAGGTAAATTGTTATTCTTTGTGATGTTTTTCTGTTTTTGTAGTTCACAAATTTACTAAGAATGGTAGACACAGTTGTGAGAAACTCAATCATTCCAAAAATCAATGGTAAGTTTGTTTTAAATATGTTCAAGATTATTATTATATTATAAACATTCTTTAGAATATAAGTAAAATATTTTCATTTATGCCGTGGCAACTCTTTCCAATGATAATGTTTGGTAACTAAAGAATGTAAAGTATCTGTCCGATGAACAACAAATGTATGTATAAAGGCGTCATCTACAAGGCTAGCATTAGGCATAATGGCAAAACAAAATTTTATTTTGGTTAAACAGCAAATAGCTAGAAAATGAGATTTTACCATCACAAAATGACTCTTAATAATAAGCAATATTCAAATGCCACAGCACTCCTCTCAAAATTTTACTCAGATATTAAAACAGATGACTACACACCAGCAATAAATTGGGATTTCATCACCAAAATTACACCCTTTTCCAGCTGTAGCGATCAATGCAACCTGTGTTTGCATGAAAAAAGACTCATCCTCAAAAATATTAAAGACCAAAATCTACTTAATAAACAAAACAAGCTAATGCTAGGTAGTAATTATAGGAAAAAATTTCTCTTAAAACATTTTAATTCTGGATAAATATATTCAGAATTCACTTCCACTTCCCATATTTTAGGTTATATATTGATTACCTCACTTTAACCATTTTAATATCTATTAGAGTTACCCAACGTTTCTCTTTTAAACTTTAAGCTTGCTTTTTATTTTTATCTTTTTTTTTACAATAACCCCCTACCTACATACATACACACACATATATATATATATATATATATATATATATATATAGGGCTGGTAGAAGTGTCTTCAGACACCCCACCCCCGAATTTATGATACAGAGTCCCTCACACTACTATATCTCAATTTTCATAAGGTAGTATTCCTATAAAATACAAATTTATTGTAACATAATTATATATAATAATGGACCATATGTAATATACGTGAACAAGTCAAGTAGAAGAATTGAAAACAAATACAATGTATATAAATACAAATTAGATCATTCCTTCTTAAATAAATCAACTTTTGTGTCAATTTTTAACATCAACTTAAGATTTTTCTTGTTAAAAAGTTGAATAATTTTAGCACATTCAAAATTATGTATAAAAAATAGTGAATTTTATATAGTATTTTTTTAGACTTAGCATAAGCAAAACAAATTCACAGATTTGGACAAAAAAAGACCTCAGAATGACATGAAAATCTCCAAAGATTTTTCATCCTTTAATAATAGTCAGATGTGCTTTGTTTAATTTGTAATGTATATAAATGTAGAAAGCAAATGTTAATAAGATAGCGAGAGTCAGAAACCAAGAGTCAGGTGTTTGGGGCTAGTATGCACCAGACCTGTATGCATATATATCACTTGTTACTTTTCATTGCAACATTTTTACTGCTTCATCAAACAATATGAAATTAGAAATGAAGAAGCACCTTCCTATGAGACATGAACTTTGATTTTTCCAGTTACAGATTATTTGTATTAATTGCCAAAGAGTTGTACTGACACAATAGCAGGGTAAAGGTAGACTATGTTCTCTAGCCTTTATGCGAAATCAATTTAGGAGAAGGATTACACTAATTACATTCTATTATCTTTCCCAAAATGTCATGATAAATCACAGATAATAAAGAAATAGAATCTGTGGAGAGACATTATAACCTACATCCTGAAAAGATATTGCATTAAAAAAATAAAATGTATGCATGGTTATATATTAAATCAAGTTAGTGAGTATAAACTATTAAAACTAATAATGTCCCAATTTTTTAAATTCTGGTTATTAAATACTAATGTCAGTGTTAATGATAATGAGAAAGTCTGGATTGAAAATATCTTGCATAAGCAAATCATATTAAGTTTTGTAATATCACTGTAGGCCTGAGGAAAATGAGAATTGGAGATAATCCTCTCAAACTTTTCTTCCTACTCATTAAATATCATCTTCAGAAACAAGAAATCAGTTCATCAATATGAAGACCAAAATTACTTGGCTTTTGTGGATATCACACCAATTAAAGCTCTAAATCAAAATGCTGCAATGGATCAAAACAGAAATTTCTTGTATAGATGATATTTCAATTTTCTAGTCTATATTTTTTATAAGATTTAATTAAATTCAATAAAGCAAGTAGAAACACACTTCTGTTTTTGTTACACTCAACAGAAGCCAATTTTCTGAAAATTTGTACAAAAAAGTATTCTAAGTTGATAACAAACATGAGATGATTTAGTATTTTGCTTTGTCAGTTTTTTCTTGTCCTAACAGCCATGTATTTTGGGTAGAGTTGGATTTTATCAATGTGGATTTATCCAATTGTTTCATGTTTATGAGATTATTTCTTAAGAATCTCACTTTTCAACAAGCTTGGATCATTTGATGTTAAAGTTTGATGTAGTTAATACTGGAATTGTTAGTTTTTTATGAAGATCCCCACAGTAGTAGAGGATTTGTTGCATTTTATATCAATCTGAAAAGTTACAATTCAAAATCTCTACAAATTACATTGCATAAAAACCACTAAATCAATGCTAGTTTTTTTTTCCATCAGTTTTATTATTTTTGAAATTCATACATTAATTCTCATGCTTGTAAATATTATCATTTTTTGTGAAAATGCTTGCAAAACATTTTATTAAATTTATTTTAAAATTTGTTTTTTAGCAAAAATATCAATTTTTTATTTGTTCTCTGTTCTGTTAATTATTTCAAATGAAACAATAATTGATATTTTTCATCAAATCAAAATGAAAATTTGATGATGTCAAAAAATTATTATTCTTTCATAGATTACACAAAAGCACTGAATAAATGAATGAAGAAACTTTTTGAAATGTGAGGAAAGCTTGATCTACATGGAAAGGATATACAAATAATCAGTAATCTGTATTGAGATGAAACTTCTTACATGTGAAAAGAGACTGAGTTAAGTAACACAAAAATAGAATAAGGAGTATAACAAAGACATGATTAAAAGACCAACCAAAACTTATGATTAGTAGACATAATTTTAACAATATACATCATACAGTCAACACTGTGTTAACAGCAGACTCAGAAGAAAAACTCAAAGAACTTGTTGAGGCTTTAACCTTTGTGATATTGTTTAAACTTTGAATGAGTTTGGTGGCTTGTGTTAGCTCAGTATTGCCAAAGACTCATTTGGATAGCTTCCTGTATGTTGCGTACTTTTACAAACTTACAAAAAGGAGAGAAGGAAAGAATGTACAATAAAGTTTTGTACAGTATAACAACATTTTAAAATTTAAAATTTTGTTTTTGATAACGTCTTTGTGTGCTTAAAAAATGTGTGTATGTGCAATTGTTTAAAAAAAAGACAATTAAAGAGGAAAGAATGAAATTTGACTGAACAGGAAATAAAATTTTCCTACTTTTTAGCTGAATAACTAAAAATCCAAGTTGATTTGTATCAAAATCATAAGTTGATTTATACCCTATGCTGAATGTCTAGAAAGGCAGGAAATGAATCTCTTTCCCTCTTTCTCGCTCTTTTTCTTCTTTCTCTTCTTCTTTTGATGTGGATCTTTTATATATCTTTTGTGTGGATGTAGTTGTAAACACATCACTTATAAAATATGTTTTAATGATGTGTCTGTTATAAAATTTATTTAGCTTATCAAATTTTAATTTACATAAGTGTTCCTAATTATTCATGATACATATCAGTAAGGACTCTTAAGCAAGATAATCAATAAAAACAAAGAAGAAAGGATTTGTTTGTAAGATTCTAAACATGATATTGACAAACCAGCAACCCAAGATACAAATATGTATCAGTGACATCAAAATCAAGCAGATGTAAAAATGTTACCATCTTGCTAGTTTGACAACAAATGACAGAAAGTTGAACACAGAAATCCAAAGTCACATTGGAATAGTAAAAGACGTTTTTTTCAGAAACTGAACATGGTATGTAGGGATTAAAAAATGTCCTTAGAAACAAAGGCAAGAAAGACTGCAGGAGAATTTCATCACAAATGAAGAAATGATTTAAAGTAATAGAAATGTAGTTTTACTGACAAATTCTGAGAATACCATGGACAGAACATGTGAGAAATGAGAAGATTTTAAAAAGAGTAATGACTACAAAGAAATCATTGCTAACAATTGTTGGGACACATAAAAAAGAAAGAAGGCTTGGGAATTTAATACACAACAATGGTAAGAGAAAGCAATCGGTAATCTAATTGACAAGTTTGAGCAAATGGATGGAGAAACAAGTTCCAAAAAGACAAAAAATAAAAATGAAGGAGTAAATATTGCTGAAAGAAATCAAAAGAATTGAAGCTATAGAGAGCCATGATCATACATATTCTGAAGGGACATAGCATATCATGTCTGAAAATGATATCTGAAAAACAACATAACACAAAAAACAAGAATTGTTAGATAATGGTTTATGAAATTCAAAAGTATCCAGACATTGGAAAATTTATATTTAAACTTTTAGAGGAAAACAAGAAAATGGTCTGAAATATAGAAAACATAAACAAAAAAAAATTAACAAAGAACTCTTGTTGGTTCACAACCAAATTTATATAAATGAAAACAAATTTGATTAAATAGAACTGACAAGTTCTGTTTAATTTTTTATTGTATTTTTCTAATTTTCAAGCAAACTATTCATCACCTTATTCAAAAATTGGAAAAATACAATAAGAAATTAAGCAGAAAGAAATTGCCAGTTCTATTTAATCAAACTTATATATATATATATATATATATATATATATATATATATTTTATATATTATAAATTTACTAATTTAAAAATATGGTTCCATCGCTACACAAGAATTACCATGTTTCAAAAACAGAAACTAAAAACTTCAAATTCAGTTATAGAATTAAATTAAAGTCCCTAGTCCTGTTTCATTTTCAAGTGAATGTATATAGGGAGGGAGGGAGGGAGAGAGAGAGAGAGAGAGAGAGGAAGATACATTATTGTTAAGACATGTTACTTTATAAAAGAGAACAATAAATATATAAGAACAAATTGTAATCAATTTGGTAGGGACCAACTTAAAGACTCAGCAATTTTTCTTTTATGTAATTAGTAGCATAATTCTCATAAAAACTAACTGGATTTGTTGCATATTAATCAATACTTATGTCTCGGATCAGTGTAGTATCTGTGTACTCTGCCTAGAATTAAATATCATTCCCCAATCCACTACCTAAAATCAGTTTTGTGTTATATTACTTTCCACCCAACTTAATAATTGTAACTTGATTTTTACCATGCCATTTAAGACACAGAACACTAACATCATGGATATAACGCTTACCTGCTGACCCACAAGTCAGGTGTTCCAATCAATGTCACATGTAAATTTTGTATAACTGTTTGCTTTTGAGTGACAGAAATTATGGATAGGAAGACAATTTCACACTGTTTTCATATATATGTTTTTATATGATATTTCATAGCCCAGTATTATTTGGTACATGAGCAATAAAATATTGTTATGCCCATATTTCTTTTTAAAAACATGTAAGCTTTGTTCATTATTTGTTGCAAGTGGATGGCTTCTAAATTTTACTTTAGTCTTGTTATATGAAATAGAAGTTATCATAAGAGTACTATCTTAAGAGTACAACATGTACTATGTTTGTTTTTTTCTCTCCACAAGCTCCTAAAATATTTGAATAATTAAAAATATCACTTCTTTTTATTTTTACAGAACAAGGAAGAATTGGTCTTCCTTTGATTTTGATGGATGGTGCTTCACTTCAAAGTACATCACTAAAAGTTGGAAAGGTCTGTATTATAGGAAGTATTCAATTATTATGTCTTATAGGAAATATTCAATTATTATGTTTTATAGGAAATATTCAATTATTGCATCTTATAGAAAATATTCAATTATTTTATCTTACTGTAATATAAAAAATGCAAAGGAAAATATTCACAGAATGTTTTTGAGCTACTTCACTTTTCAAAATATATATAAGTTGACAATTAAATGTTATCTTAAAAATATATTTTAGTATCCAAGGCATTTCTATTGTAATAAAATATGACTTGATATTTGTATACAGACATCTTTTCCTATTCCTATTCTAATCTTCAAATATAAATGTTAAAATTTACAAATCTGGTAGATTCATGAATATACAAATTTAAATTTTCATTTCTAGACTGTTTAGATTATTATTGTGTCTAAGACATTTGCTTATGCATAAACACTTATTCTCAATTCTCTCAAAACTAAATAAAGATACATTATTTACATTATTCGGACTATTGTCCTCATCTTTGTCGCCATATTTATTACAACATTTCAGGCGTTGTACACTCCAGCCTTCTTCAGGTGGTTGGAATGTCGAACTTAACCCTTTATTTTGCTCACTGGGGTAGACTGTTCTAGTTCCACGTGCTATGTTTTAATGGATGTCAGTTATCAGTTATCTCCTGTTAATTTCCCTCTGAAAGTTCTCCACTGCCTTAACCGGGTATTGAACTCACACTCTTTGGGTCCTGTCACTGGATCTAACCAACACCTTTATGCACTGTGCCATGTGTCCTTGTAATAAATATGGCGACAAAGATGAGGACAATAGTCTGAATAATGTAAATAATGTATTATTTCAGAAATATAGACAGATACTAAATAAAAGATATTTTCAGTATACTGCTCATTTATCTCTCTCTCTCAATATATATATATATATATATATATATATATATATATATATATATATATATATATATATATATATTGGTAGACATGTATTTACACATTAAGAAATGAAACATACACACACATGTGTAGGTCAGTAAGTAAATGTGTAGCTTAAGAATGAAAAGTATTTATTTTACACAACAAATACTTATGTTTAATATAATCTCCTTCCTTGTCAATGCACTTAATTCACATAGATTAAACATTATATTTTAACTACCTTCACTCCTCAGCAATATTTATTGTTTTAAAATATGATGATTAATATTGTAATAAAATCTAAATTGTTCCAGTTTTTAAGAACTCTGGTGAGCCATCCCACCGTTACAACTAGCAACCTATTAACTTTCTACCTCTTTTTGAGAAACTCCTAGAGACCCTAATCAATGCTGAACAGATTAATCATCTCTCATTGCAGGGCCTTTCTCAGACAAGCAATATGGCTTTCATTTCTCCAGTTCAACTGCTGATGTACAGACAATAACTGTGGAAAAAGTCTATCATGCTCTAGATAAAAACAGTGACTCTGGGCTATAGCTTTAGACATTTCAAAAGCCTTTGACAGGGTCTGGAATTCAGGTCTTCTCCACAAGCTGAAAAGTTACAATGTCTCTAGACACTCTTTTGAACTGATCCAGTCTTTCCTATCAAATCATGAAATGAGAGTTAGGCTGAATGGCCACTTGTCTAGATCCTTTTGTACTAACGCGGGTGTCCCCCAGGACTCCATCCTTAGACCTATTCTGTTTTTAATTTTTATTAATGACCTTCCTGATGACATCAGCTCTCAACTTGGTATCTATGCTGATGACACAACAATTTACTTCTGCCTCAATAGTGAAGCTTATCAATATGACAAGGTCCATCATTAACTGGGGCAAAATATGGCTTGTTATTTTTAACGCCTCCAGAATTAAACTTCTTTCCATTAATCATATGAGAGATCCCTCACTGCTTTCCATCAGCATGCTTAGAATATTGCTGCTACATATGGTCCAGTGACCCTTGAGCTCCTTGATAAAATCCAAAGGAGAATCAGTAATATTATTGGTCCTCATCTGGTGGCTCGACTTCAGTCACTTTTTTACCTTTTCTATAAATACTTTCATGGTAATTGTTCAGATGAACTCTTTGCTATGGTACCTAGCCTTTTTGAATTTAAGCACAGCACTAGACTAGCACAAAATCGCATCAGTCTACATTTAAACTGACTATATGTAGCCATAAATTCTATGCTAACAGTTTCTTCTCTCACACTTCTTGTTTGCAGAACTCCCTTTCCAGCTAACTTTAATCTACAAAAATTTAAATGTAATGTCAATTGCTATCTACTGTCCTCCTGATTACTTTTTTTTCTCTTTCTGTTCATCATTAATGTTTCTGTTTCTAATTCTTCCACCCCCTTGTAAGCTCATGAATCTTACTGGATTTTCTGCTTTGCTTGGGGTGAAACTGAATAAAAAAAAAGAACATATCATGAGAGTAACATTATACATTTTTTTATTCTTCAGAATTGACAACAAAAATATTAAACACTATTTATTAGATTGTTTATTTACAATAATAATTTTATATTTACAACAGTATAAAAACTAATATTATTAAAACTAATGCTATGCAATATTTATCATTTACCAATTTATAAAGAAATAAATATGAAAACAATTTTTTATTCATAAATGTATAAATTATTCGAATATAAGGAAATCCTTATTATTTACCATTTTATAAAGTTCCAATCGACTGGCAATTAGGCAATCTTTTGCCAGCCATTCCAATAAACAATAAAATGAATAGTGTAAATAAACAATCTAATAAATAAACACTGTTTATTAATTTTGTTGTAATTCTCAAGAAAAAAGTAAATGTATAAATTAACTTTCATATGTTTAGATTTTATTACACTTCTAATCATCGCTTTTTAAAACAATAAACATTGCCATGCAATGAAAAGTAGTTAAAATAATAGCAGAGTGTCAATGAAAAAAAAATGTCCTTTTGATACTTTTGACATTTTTTTGTGGTCAAAGTTTGTTGAAAATTGGCAAACTTGGACTATGTTTTTTAAGTTTTTGAATTTTAAATTATCTTGTAATCTTATTTCTGATTAGATAATATTTTATCTTATACAGTTTTACATATTTGTTTGTTTCAATGATATTTTCTTAAGATAGAAACCAGTGAATTTTTGTCAGAAAATATATTTTTCTTCTGTATGTTCTTTGAATGATTATGACATTCAGTTCTATCTGAAATTAACTTTTGGAGTTTTTAGTGGGCTTAAGCTTGATTTAATTAAATTATATTGCAAAAGTGAACCCTTATTTTATGTTCATTGTTACTGAAGCAGTGAGTCTTTTTTTATTTTCCATCATATCCATAATTTTAAAGTACAGAAGATTATAAAGAACAAAAAGATAAAGTTGTTCCTTCTTTTTGTCTACAACAAAGAATTCAATCTATGTAGTAATGAAATCGCTGACCCCAATCCTAACCTTAAGTTATTCTTTTCAGAAAAAAAAAATGTAATTGAATCTTTTTCTTTAAAATTACACATAGAAATTTGCATGAAGATGAACACAAAATAAAGCTCCTGTTTAGTATTAAATATATTAAATCTATATTGTAAATTGAACATCTGCTGTTATAAGGACACCCTAAAGTTTTTCATTAGATGTATATTATTGTAAAGATACAGAAGGCATTTACACATCCATATGGCGTCTTCCCTTTGGCAATATATCTTTCACAGAGAGAGAATGAAACTCTAGCTTGCCATCCTCAATTTGGGAAAACCCAATATTTTCTGTTTTCCATTTGTGGAATATATCTTTGTCTGGGACATAGTAGAACATTTGAATCTGAAGTCCTAAACATGGCTTCTCCAGACACAGGAATATCTCCGTATTATATGTAAAACCCTTCCTTCTTGTTTCTCCTTACACTCTGCTTTGCTGTGTAGATATATGTAATATAATATTCTCCACATGGCAGACATGAATATATATATTAGTTTTGTGTATGTCTTAGTATTATAAAAGTCTCTCTGAGAACAAAGCATAATTGTCATTCTTTTTCCTTTCAACTGTAAACTATGGTGTTATTATATAATGGATATAATGATGCCCATAAAATTTGAGAAACGTAAATGGGAAATAAATCTTTCTTCCAAGCATCCCATTACATTGTTAAATAAACCTCTACTTTAATGTTCCTTCATTTGGTCTCACTTTAAAACTTAATATTTCTCTAAAATGCAAAATTTCCAGAAGAAATGATGGCCATATATGGAAAAAGCAGATCAAAATACATAAAAAAATAGATTTTTAACAAAAATACATTGGTTCATGAAACTAAATTTTAATAAAATATTTTAATTTGTTCATTTAACAACCAAATACACTAATAAATTTCTTCTAATCTTTCTATTCTACAGCGTTGCCTAATTATTGGCACAAATTTCCATATTGACTTTATATAATGGGACACAAGAACAAATCATGAAACATTTGACCTGTCCAGTGGATTGAAAGACTTCAGACAGAAGAATCAATCAACATGGGACCAATGAGTTCTGTATGAATGCAAATAAAATGAATAATTTTTTTCTAAGACTTGCATTTTTTAAGTAGAAATATAGAAAATAATAATTAAAAAACCAAATTGAGAATCATTTGTTAAATACCAGAATTGAATTTCTTTGTTTATATTTAATTATCAATGAAATGCTTTAAAAAATGATTATTGCATTCTTTCTCTTTGTGTTATTTTTCAAAAGAATTCTTTGAATCTGTTATCAATATTATTTGTATGAATATTATTAATTTCATTGTTAATAAGAAATCAATGGAAATAGAAATTGAATGATCAACATTTTCACATACACACACATATTTTCATACACCCATATACATATTCTTGCACACTCATGAAAAGATTTCACCTTTAACTACACAAATATTTATCAAAGCTTTTATTCTTATTATATAATAATACATCAACATAACATGAAAAACTTATATTCAGAATAATTTACAAACAAAACATGATTATTTAATCCATTTACCCACTGTAGAATGTGGTTTTACAGCCACTCACAATTTACCTGCTTAACAACCCCCTACACTGGACTATATTGGCCTGTTATAAAGTCACATTTTTTTCTAACTTCGGTAATTTTTTATACATTTTTATAGTTTTTGCTGATTATTTTCTCTCTCTTCAAAATAAATAAAAGTGAAAAAATAATTAAAAATGTACTTTAACTGTATTTCCCATATATTAAAGTACAGAATATAGAGATGATATTTTAATTTGTTCATTACATTTACTGTCCATTACATTGTACTTTATAAACATTCAGAAAGGAATTACAAATGTTACAAATTTTGCAAAAGTATTATTAAAGCCATCTAAAGCAGGTCAACACAAACCTAATAGACATGTAGAATTACTGAAATACCAGTCATGTACATCACCTTTAGTGACCAGATCATTGGAACAGAACCTGGTCATTTAGTGAGGAATGTCTGTAATTATAAAAATCAAAATCAAAATCTAGTATTAATTCTAGGTTTATAAAAAAATTTTGGCTTTTAATCATAAGTTCATAAAAATCATATATTACTAATAGGTTTCTATATATAAACATTAAAATGATGTTTTGATCTATAAGAATTAAATGATAGGCTTTATCTTTAGTCTATCAATCCCCACCATCTCAAAATAAACTTTAAAGGGCATTAATGTGTTAAATTTAATATTGCAATATAATTATAAAAATGATTTGCGGTTTTTCGTTAATCTTTTAAAATCCAATAAAGTTGTATTTTTCCTTTAAATAATTTACATTGTTGAAATAGTTTAAAAAACAAAGTGATAATGTCATAACTCTCTATGGTTTGTCAACATGCAATACAAATTATAATAATAAGAATAACATTTTGAAAAATAAAATTAATTTATGTTAATAAATAATTTAAATTTTGATTAAAATTACTAGCATTGGACATTTCTAAGTTGTATATATGTATGCATGTATATGAAGATTTGTGTATTATAACATTGTTCAAAGGGGTGTGTAATATTATAAAATATAGTTTTTGAGGTATTATATTTATGGTTAAAAATGATTAATGAAATTTTCAGACATAGTTAAATATAATATAAGTTTTAAAGTGGACAATGTTTCTTTCAATTCAATCAGTGAAACTTCAATGCAATTTTCATACCATCTGAAGAATGAAAAAAAATGTGATCATAAATTGGTTTGAGAAAGTGTCCTCTTTATTTTATATATATATATATATATATATATATATATATATTAACATGTATATTTATATAACCTTTCTTTATATATATATATATATATATATATATATATATATATATATATATATATACATTCACATACACATATATATATATATATATATAAAAAATTAAATTTATGTAAAAATAATATATATATATATAAATAAAATTAGGAATTTGTGAAACCAATTGGATGTTTAAAAAAAATTTGTTGTTATTAAAAAATAATTTAAAAATTTTAACATTTATTTAAATAATTAAAAACTTACATTATGGAAAATTCCTGAGTGCAAATCACTATCAAATCTTGTCAAAATGTAAATCTGCAGCCTGGATTTCTCAAATATCTCCTTTCCTAAACAACTAAACAATATACTCATTTCCCAAACCAACATTCATAACTATAAAAAATTTTAAAATTAAAAGAAAACTTAAATAAAAAAAACCTTCTATTGTCTGAAATAAATAAATAATTTATCAAATTAAAATAAAATATTAAATAATAATTGCATTAATGAAAAAAGTAAATAAATAAATGTATATAAACAAATAAGAAAAACAAAAAATTCAACATCAACAACTTTTATTCACTTTCGTTTATAAAACAATGAATTACATCACTTAGCATCCTCTAGAGTTTACTTTGGCTTTCACAGCTTTTGAAGAATATTTATTTAAATTTTAAATTTTGTAAATCTAACTATATTTTTACTTCTGTTTATAAATATATAAAGTCCATCAGAAAACAAAATTTATTGGTAAAGAATAGTTTTTACTTTTGTCTTTATTCATATATAACTTCTCTCTCTTCTAAATATATATTTTTATATATATATATATATATATATATATATATATATATTATCTATATATTTAAATAAAAAAAAAAATTTTTAAATATCCTTACTATGTCCTAAAATTTAGTTCTTTTTTTTCTTCCTCCTGGAAATTTTTTTCTAAAAATATACATGTATAAAAAATTTATATATTTTGCATATATATATATATATATATATATATATATATATATATATATATATATATATTTTGAACAATAAAAAATATTAAAAAATTAAAATCTTCAGACACACTGGGTTGTAGATTAATATTCTTTCGTTTTTTTTTTATTATTATTTCATTTAGATTCCTCGACTAGTTTCGACCAAAATGGCCATCATCAGGAGAAAAAAATTTTCTGCTTGCTGGTAGCAGTGAACTACAGAAATGAATGTCTTGATGGAGAAAATGAACTTTTGTCTGTAGTTTTCATTTGTTTTTTTTTTTTTTTTTTTTTTAACATGAATTTTTAACATTCCTTGTTTGGTCAAACAGTCTCTTTTAAGTTGTTATTTGAGATAAGAGCTGGATGGATCCATGCTGCTCTGAATTCCCTGGTCAGTTTGACAGTTTTATTGGTTCCTGGAGAGGGGATGTGTCTCTGTTTAGTGTTTGTGTGTGTGTTATTTGGTTCTTAGGGAGTGAGTGATGGGTATGATATGTGTAAGCGTGTGTATTACTGTATGTATGTGTTATCATTTGGCTCATTAGGGAGTGAGTGAGGGTGATGTGTGTAAGTGTGTATATTTGTGTGGGTGTGTATAAAATGTGAGGCCTCAACACCTCCATAAAATAAATGTCTGTCTTGTGGGGTGAAAATGTGGGTAGGTTTTGATTTGTAGGGTTATATATTAATATTATCTATATTGTTAAATTTATGGTTTAGCCCGGCTGGATAGTGTGTTTTTTAAACGTTGTATCCACTTATTTTCATGGGACTCTAAAATCTTTCTAATGTTATCTGCTCTGAACTTTTCTATTCTCTCAATTATAGTGAATTTGGCATGGGTTTTGAAATCGTGTTTTTCTAGGCGGAAATGTTGTTCTACAGGTAATAATTTTTTCTTGGGGAGTCGACTTAATTCGATTGTGATAATTATTAATTCTGTAGTGAAAGGGCCATTCAGATTTTCCTACATATTGTTTCTGGCATAGTGTGCATTCTAGGAGGTAAATTATGTTATGACTTCTACAGTTAGAATCGTGGTAGATTTTGAAAGTAGATTTAGTGATTGAGCTAGTGAATGAATTCGTGTGTCTAATATGGTTTGCAACATAAACTTTTTTGTTGTTACATGGTTGGGAAAATCCTGTTGTTTTTGTTCTTAGGTTTATTACATATTACCTTGTCCCCTGAAATGTGGTTACTACCTATGATTTCTTTTTAGGTTCAAGTTAGTCTCTGATATGCTAGAAATTTTAAACAAGTTTTTAGGTCTGGTTTGAGATGTAGTATTTCCCAGCAACTTTTGATTATTTGGGATAGTGGAGGCAGAGTGGGTTGAAAGTGGTTACTAGAGGATGCAGCTAGATTTATTTTTAATCTTGTACATTAGGGTGTCTTCTCTAGGTGTGGAAATTGCTTTTATTTATTTGTTCCCTGATTAGGTGTTGTTTATAGCCACGTGTTGTGAATTGATGCTCCAGATTTTCAATGTGTTTAATTCTTCATTGTTGGAACATATCCTTCTGAGTGCTTGTGAATAGGGAAGGTTCTCTTTGAGGTTTTTAGGGTGGGAAGACTTAAAGTGTAGATAGTTGTGGTTGTCGGTGATTTTAGTGTGTAGTGTCGTTTGTAGTTTCCTGTTTTCATCTCTGTAAATGCGGGTGTCTAAAAATGTTACCAATGTTGTGGATTTTTCATAGTCAAACTTGAGTCATGCATTGTGTTTAGGGTCATGAGGAATTGGATAAGTTTGTTGTCACTGCCCATGTATACAAAGAATATATCATCGATATATCTTGCATAGAATACACAGTCATTACCGATGAGGGGATAGATATGGATCTTCTCAAATTTTCCCATGAATATTGTAGCATATGATGGAGCAGCAATAGTGCCCATGGCACAACCTCTTACTTGAAGGTAGTGTGCTCCATTGAAGTTGAAAGTATCCAATGTCAGAATATGCTCCATGAGTTTTATAATAACTTCTGTATATAATCTTGTTTTAGTAAGCTTCCTGAAGGGTGGTTAGCCCTTTGATGTGTTTAATGTTTGAATAGAGTGACCTTATGTCCATAGTCACTAGAATAGCATTCTCTGGAACTGTTTGCATGTGATTAATTTTGTTTAGTAGATCTGTTGTGTCTCTGATGTAGGATTTT